CAGATTGGGAAAGGGGGTAATCAGAAGCAAGTACTTCTGAGGAGGGTCAGGATCAAAATAAAGAATAGAATAAATGGGGGGGTGGGATAGGATTAAGGGAAATAGAGTTAGTTTTTCACAGCATGTCTACTATGGAAGTGTTTTGCATAACTGCACATATATAACCTATATTTAGTTGCTTGCCTTATCAATGAGGGTGGGTGGGGAGGGAAGAAGGGAGAAAATTTGGAACCCAAAGTTTTAAAAACACATGTTTAAAAAAAAGTTTTCATATGCAACTGGGAAATAAGAAATACAGGAAATGGGGTACAGAAATCCATCCTGCCCTACAGGAAAATTGAAGGGGAAAGGGATAAGAGAAGGGGAAGAGAGATAGAAGGGAAGGCAGACTAGGGTAAGAGGTATTCAGAATGCATGCCATCTTGGAGTGGGGGGAGGGGCGAGATGGGGTGAAAATTTGGAACTCAAAATCTTGTGGAAGTAAATGTTGAAAACTAAAAATAAATAAATAAAAATTACCATTAAAAAAAAATCACATATCACAACTTGTTCAGCCATTCCCCAATTGATGGGCATCCTCTCAATTCCCAATTCTTTTCCACCAGTAAAAGAGCTGTTATAAATATTTGTGTACATATAAGTCCTTTTCCTTGTTGTTTTTTGTCTCCTTTGGGATGCAGATCTAGTAGTGATATTGCTGAGAAATGACCCTTATGCTTAAACATTTTATTTTTTTGTTGTAAATAAGAGGAAACACTCCTACATTTGTTTACGTTGGTCATGCCTTTGCCCCATATTAGTCTTTTCCCTTTGGAGCATTGGTAGAATTCATTAAATATTTATAAAATTTTATTAATGATATATTTATAGAGTAAAACAAAATTTTATCTTCTTATGTAACATCCACTATTTTGCAAAATTTATTTATTTTTCTGCTGTTTCAGAATAAAATTTAGCCTTGTCTGTACCCTTACTGATAAAATATCCAAGAGATTCTCTGATGAACAGATTTTAGACCTAAGAAATACCTCGTCCAACTTAACCAGTGGTGAACTTTTAGATAATGAATTCAATGACATAAAATGCTACATTTGCAGAGAGTGAGGCCGAAAAAGAGTATTTCTTATCTGAGTCCAGTGTTAAAGAAATTCTTTTAATAGCTGATCATCTGAAAGATAATGAGCAACATGGTGCTTGTTGGACCCAAGTTCACAGTAAAAGAAATGAAGACCGACCCACAGTGTTTCAAATGTAAAGATAATTCTTGGTTATAGGCTTTTGCTTCTCAAGCAGTGTGAGGATGCTTGCAACAGTCTGGCCTCACTGTATATTCTACAATCCATGTTATTGAGCAAAGTTCTATTCCTTTAAAAAAAATGACTTTAGTGAGTAAGTGCTTAGAATTATTCAGAAATGTACAAATTCTGAGGGCCAACAAGCAACAAACAATGCTAACTGGTCTATTACTTTAGATTATTTAGAAAAACATATTGGTCTTACTATTGCTTGTGATGGTATTGGTGAAAGAAACCTACCCATAAAAAGCATGCAGAGATTGCATGCCATCCTGAGGAGAGGGGAGGGAGAGAGAGGAAGAAAATTTAGAACTCAAAATCTTACGGAAATGAATATTGAAAACTAAAAATAAAGAAATTTTTTAAAAAGAAAAAAAATAAAATACTAAAAGCATTTATAACAGAAAAGATGTATTCTAAGATTAACCATTATTTTAAGAAATCTGTAAGTAAATATCATTGAACCCTTAAAAAAAAATCTTGAAATGGTTTAATGTTTCTGGTGCCAGTCTTGCACCCATTTGGGAAAGTTGTTGTTGGGGACAGGATCTACCTGGAAAATCTCTAAACTATTAGGGGTCAGTATGGGTAAAGGCAAAGGCCTTCTCTGGATCATCTGTCCTTGACTGTACCCTGGACTTGCTTTGCTGTTGAACAAACATCTGCTGAGTCTGGTGGGAAAGTTCGTAGTCACAAGTAAACAAAGAAGTCTTAGAATAGACAATTAACCTTCACCCTGAAGAGATGCTCCTCCAGCGTCTTATCTAGTGACAACTTTGTATCTTTAGCTCTTGCTCTTGGGATATTGTAAATCATCATTCACTTTTATGTATAAAAGTTCAAGCCTTACTAGCAATGAACAGTCCTGTGGCTGATCAAAAAAAAATATATATATATATACATATATACATATATATGTGTGTGTATATATATATATATATATATATATATAATATATATATATTATAATGGAGAGGTGGATCTATTCTAACGAGGGGGTAGGGGCTAGTCATTTATTTCCCAATCAACTCCCAGCCTTGGGCAATTTAATCAAAGAATTTACTTTCACACAGTCTGGAGTAGAGCACAATGGGCTTCCCCACCTGGGTGGGGTGACTAAGATTGTCAAGAAAACTAATTCAATCTCATTATCAGCAATGTCATTCAGAGACTAAACAACCTACAGCTTCTGAAAAAAATCCTGGTCGTAATCCAATAATTGATTATTAATTAGAGAAATAATCATTTCTCTGCAAGCCTACAAAAAGACCTATGTGAAAGATAAGAGGTTGGAAATTAGCCCTAAGAAAATCCAGTATCCAGCTCACTCAGTCAAATTTGAATTCCAGGCATAATCCAGAATAAGATACTGATTTCCTCACAATCTAAGAAGGAACCCAAGAGAATACAATACAACACAACACAACACAATTAACATTTATTAAGTGCCTACTATGTGCCAGGTACTGTGCAAAATGCTGGGGATACAAATAAGAAAAAGAAAGACAATCCCTACCCTCAAGGAGCTTACATTCTATTGGGAGAAGACAACACAAAAAAAGGAAACTGGAAAGGGAGAGAAGGGGAGAAGGACACAAGGGAGTACCCAACACGAGGGTATCTCATTCCATGGATCTGAGACCAACAGAGGTTGAGCTGCAAATGGAAAAATGGAGTGGGCTGACAAGTCCAGGTTCTGCCCTCTATAAAGGAAGGCTTTGGGTGGAGTTGAATGCTCTTCTCTCCAGTCCTCCAATCAGAATGGTGAGGGAGGTGGGAAGATGCTGAGTTTTAGAGATAAGCTTATCCTGAGAGGGACATCTTGGTCTGTGGAGTTGAGATGAACTAGAGCTGCATGTTTAAGAGAGCCCACATTATCCACCTGGGTAACCTGATGGACCCCATTTACTGAGTCACACTTTTGTCTGCTCCTTTTAAAGGGAGAGCCAGACAGAACAGACTATAACCCTGAAAGATATAAAAATATAAAGCAGACTGTTCAACAGTCTCTCCTCTTGGACCCTTATGATCCTGCAAGGCCCATGTTTCTGAAAGTCTGTCCATAAAGACAAGGGGTTTTGTTTTTCTTGCTGTCTCAATGTAGGGAGGGGGAGGGGAAGAGGTAGGAGGTAGAAAATGTGACACTGAAAATAAACCAAAATTGAATTAATGGTAATCATGCCAGAAACTGAGGCTTCTAGTCCAAACCCTAGAACTTTGCCTCTTCTGATGGCCCAAGAGACCCACACCTGTACAGACCTGCTTCCTAATGAACACCAGTTTGCCTGATTTGACAATGACTCTACTCCCTTTGAAAGAGGAATACACAACTGGATTTAAGTAGCCACTAATCTGGTAATAGGGAAGACCCTACAAAACTGGGGTCCTGGCAAGTCCTTCCAGGGAGCTGAACCCTATTGTTAGCATGCAAAAGATCCTTGAAGGATAAGGCAGAGAAGGTGTTCATCTTTACTAATTCTTGGGCAGTGCCTATGGGTCTGGCCAACTGATCCCTGAAGATCATGGGACTGGATGATGAAAGGTTCTCTTGTTAACCAGCACATGGTGGGGGTGGGGGAGGGGGTTAGAAGTAATCTCATCACTCAGCCACACCCTTTAGAGATTGACTGACCTTTTCAGGAGTTGGGTCTTAACAGAAATAGGCAGAAAAGGGTGGATCATAAATTAATAATTAGTTAACATAATAGTATAACATTAATTTCTCTTACCATCTAATTCCTTTCCTTTTAAAAATGATTGTGCTTATTTACTAGATATTAAGCTAAGTCATTTCTATATGCAGATAGAGACAAGTGTTGTCAGCACCTTCTAAAATTTGGTGCCCTGGGGCACCAAACTCCAGCTGCCCCAGCATAATTATAGCCCACAGTTCAAAAACCAAATGTAGGTAAAAAGGTATTCCCACAGGAGAAACTGATAATATTGTAACCAAATCTGACAGAATCCTTAGGAAGGTCATTTTGAAGAGAAGAAAAAAAAACCTTCCTCAGAATAGCAGATAAAAACCCTAGAAAGAATGAACAATATGCATATATACATACTAGACATAGAAAGAAAAGGTGAATAATCCTTGAACTATTCAGTAGAAGAGTTCAAACATGTATTTAGTCTAAAAGGGGGAAATATTTACAGTAAACATGACCCATGGGTATAGTTTTATACTTCTCTGATGTAATTCCTCAAAGATGCTAAAAAAAAAATCTTTATAGTTGTTTGTACCCTAGGCAGACTTGTGAATGGTTGCAGATAACTTTTGTATTCTGACATATCTCAAAGTACACATGTTTTGGCCACCCTCAAAAATTGATAAAATTGCTTCCTGAGGTGTTCCTGCCTAGCATGGTCAAAACAAGGAAAGATAACTATGAGCTGTCATTGTTATTGTTGTTGTTTGTCCTTCATTCTTGAAGAGGGCTATGACATCGGGGAAGGTGATTTCAAGACTTTTGAGTGAATTAGATTTAAGTGAAGCAAGGCTGTGCAAAGTCACCAGCCCCACTCTCTCCTCCAGGATCCAGTGGCAAAACATAGGTCAGGAGGACTGCAGATGACCCCAGTTACGTTGGGAGATCTTGACATTTTTAAGCTAAGATCTTTCCCAGTCTCAGTTTGCCTGAGGTAACACCCATTTAGTGATTTAAGGCTAGGTAAGAAATGAGGCACAAGATGACCTAGTTTATCTACTCAAAAAAAAAAAATTGGAAGGGGAAGACCCTCAGGGTTTCTGGCCAGAGCAGAAACAATTGCTACTTAGCTCACTGTTAGCCATCAGAATGCAAACAACGACCAAGTGAAACTTAAGCTGGGAGCTATTATTGGCCAATCAGTGAGAGCCAGAGTGATTTAGGTTTAAGGCATGGTCAAGTAGTTCCATTTGAATCCCAATTGGTTTTATCAAAGCCTGGTTTTGTAAGGCTCTGTTTCAAGAAACCATAAATGAAACTACTTGGGAGAAAAAAGTTAATTGTCCCAGTTAAAAAAAGATAGAATAAATAAGTAGGGAAGAGAGAAAAAAAATCTAGCCCCTAAACCCCAAGATATGAGCTGTCAAAATTTAATCATTGTACAAATTGGTTAGCCAGGGCACAAGCAGGATGTTAAATGATTAAATGCACAACAAACACTGATTAATGCTATAAGCTTTAGGTTGCACTTTAGATAATCAAGGAAGATGCCAGTTAATTATCACAAATTCTCTACCACTCAGAGTCCATGAAGGAAATAATGCACAGTGGAACGAATCCCAAATCATATCACTCTTCCTTCTCTGCTTAGGGAGGTGCAAGGAGGTAGGAAGGAGAATTCTGGACAGTTTAGAAATATTACTGTCGATTCCACTCTTTCCCCCCAAATCCTTGTCAGTTAGCTGACAGGATTTAAGAAAGAGTGGTCTTCATGTGGTATCCCTCGAAGTCAATTTTTACTTTTATTTCCACAGTGCACATTCTTCATGTAATTTACATAAGGTTCCTCTTCCTTCCACCCAGGTAAATCAAAGAAAAAAACATGATCATGAGAAACAAGAAATCATATCAAATATTCAAAGCCCCCCTCAGTGACCTCCCTCTCTCAAGTTTCCCTTTCTTCAAATAGTTGCTATGTAGAGAAATGTAAGACTGGTCAGCCAAAAGTTACATAGGTATGATTTTGTACAAAGAGAACCTTACATTTTAGGCAAATGTAGTTCTATCTGAGAGGGAAAGTGTTTTGTCAATGTTGCTGCCCCTTATGGACACTGTAGATTCAAAGCTTCAATCTTGAATAAGGGACTCAGGCTCATTATCATCTGGCAAAATATTGGCTTCGTGCAACTGAACCCCATGAGAAATAAGCATAACAGCACATTACTTTGCTAATGCCCAGATTACATAACCCTCTGCCTAACATGGAGGTACCCACTTGGGAGACACCATGTACATGCTTCTAGAAGGTGACCTTATTTGTTCTCCTACCATATGTATGGCAACAGCCCTTCCCTATTGACTATGTAGTTGGAATAAGCCGCATCTTTAAAACTACCAGATTGTGACAATTTCTTTCTCTCTTTCTAGCAGTGTCCAAGATGAGTTGAAAGTCCTGTTCACCCACAGCACAGGCAGCCTGAATTGAGCTGAGTAAGGCAAAGGACTACTTTCCCCAACCTTTCCCTCCACCCTTTTAAGTCCTGTGGCCTTAAGAAATGGGCTTGGGGTTTTGGTATGGTCTTTTTTTATTTGTTCTTTTCAGTTCTAAAATACGGAGATTCCAGATCCAAATCATAATGACCTTGGAAACAGGATTCCAAGTTAGGCCATTCAGAAGCCCTGAGAAACCAGAGATCCTAGTACTCAAACCCAAGGAGGGTTTTACATTTGGAATTTCTTGAGACAATGCTGTGTAGGAACTGAGTTATACCATGAACCTGACCCCCTGCCCTCCCCAGAGACAGAGGCAGTGTAGGGAGGGAATTATGCCTCTCATGTGTTGGAGGGATGTTGGTATATTTGTTCTTACTATACCATTGAAGTAAATATTCCATTGTAAAAGCTAATCTGACTTAAATTGAGTGTTTAAACAATCTCTTGCTTTTATACAGCACCTACTTATTACCTTCATTTAATAGTTGAGGAAATTGAGGCAAATAGTTTTAATGACTTGCCCAGTGTCATACAGCTATTGAGTGGCTAAGGCTGGATTTAAACTCAGTTCTCCCTGACTCCAGGCCCAGTGCTCTATCTATCCATTGTTCCACCTAGCTGCCAAGATAAATGGAACTGGAAAGCAGGGAACCCCCTAAAATTGAGGGAATACAATCTGCTGGAACCAATAACAGAGATTGGGTGCCCCTGAATCCCCTTAAGGGGGTATTGGAGAACCCTGTAGGAGGGAGCTGCTTCAGGCAGTGTCAGCCAGGGCAATAATGTTGCACAAACTAAATCACAGCCCAAAATGACAAAACCTAGCAGGCACACTCTCTGATTTTGACAATCATCCCTCTCTTTATCTTACCATATTAATATTTGGAGTAGACCTTGTCCTTTGGGACTCACAGTTCCTGCCAAAAAAAAAAAAGAGACAATGAAAAGTGATTTAAAGAGAGGAGAATACAAAACCTGTTTTTCCATTAGTATTGCAGATAATACTGATGTTAATAATAGAGGGCAACACTCTACATTCAGGAAAGCAGTGAAATAAAAGCAAGAACTTTCTACCATTCAAAAATGGAATGAACAGCATAAGGTTTTTTATTATTTTGCCAAAAATAATAGCATTAACAATAGGGTTTTGCCAGTGGCAGACATGTCTGATAAATACAGGAATGTAGACTATATGGGTAGAGACCAGTGACCTAGATTCCTTAGCCCACCTTTTATTCTGATTAAAATTCCTTCGGATGCTAAACCAGCGATTACCTTGGGAACATCTGAGCATCTTAATCTACACTAGATAGTTATATGTAACAAACAGCTTGGAGATCCCAGAGATTAAGAAAGGAAAAGGAAAGATGTAATTTTAGCCTGGCAACATGCTGCCTGATTTCTGTTAGTTGGGCATGGTAGTCAACACTGAAGACCTATCAGTCTAACTATTGTAGGTTAGGCCAGAATCTGGTCCATTGGGTACTTTCAGGTGCAGATTGGAACAAAATAAGACACTTAGAAACCATCTAAGAGTTAGCAAAAGGAGATTTCCTCAGCAAAAGAAGGGAAAGGATATTCAGCATGGATGCAGCATTGATTCATTAGAGCACAACTTTCCTTACTGTTCCATGCTGGTCTATTGATCAGAAGCCTGGGTGAGGAGCTCCTGACTTCTTGTGTATTGGCTTTTGCTCATAAGCCACCAGGAAGCTACATGCATGGTTTGAGTGTTAATCCCCTGGACCAAGAATAGTTTCAATATCTTTTAAGGAAAAACTAACTAGCTTGCACAGTGTAGGGCCTTTGGGCCTTTATGTCAGGGTTCTAGACACTATGACCTAGAAGACTAAAACTAAGGTGTCTTGGCTAGACCTGAAAAAAAATGAACCCAGAAGGTAGTGGCATGGCCCGAGAGAGATGAGACCAGGCACAGTAAAAGCAGAATGGTGATATCACTCAAAGACATTAGGAGTCCTGAAGCATTGGGAGTATGAATTGTACCTCCATACATATTCCTCATGTGTGGACCCTTCGTACATGTGTGAAGTTTAAAAAGTTTTGAGAGACATAGTTTCTGGGCAATTTAATCATTTTATTAATAAGGCCAGCAGGTTATTAATAAAAGGATGGTCATTTGGCCATCTCTCTCAGACCAAAGACCCCTAATGGCAGTGGGGTCACAGTTTATATGCCATTCAAAGAGCAGGTGTTCCGGAGGGGCGCCTACTCAACTCTAATTAACACAATGCTAGGTGGGCTCTCTTGGGGTATGTGATTTAAGTCACTCAAATCTTAGTCAAAAAGACACAATTTCCATATTACTTGTTTTGACAATAGGAAGTCTCAACCCTTCCCCAGACTTGACTGAGCAAACACAACGAGCAGGAATGCACCCATTGGCCTAAAATTAGAATTTTTTTGCTGTCTGATTAGATCTTGGCCTGGGTAAATTTCTAAGAGAGATTTCCCACACTGGTTGGTTTCTGAATAAGGAAGTAGAAAAGAGGAAAAACCTTGGTCCTAATACAATAATTAGTTACGAAATATAAGAGAGAAATATTAATTTCTCATGCATGATCTTTATACATGCTCATTATCCCCATTGATGGTGTGTATATTTTGGGAAAAGTGCACTCTAGATTTATGAAGAAAAGGTTCTATTGAAAGTCTTCTTACTATGCTATTTTATTAAATGCCATTGATTTGAAATACCGTGTCCTGTGATTGATTAGAGAGAAAAAGTAAACAAATCAGTAGATGCTTGCAAGCTGTCATTTTGAACAAATGCAGATGCTCAGAGTACGTTGAACTTGCGGTAGCTGTTCTGAGGGGAGTGTCCAGCATGCTAAACTTCAAAAATAATGAGCTCCATGACACTGGAAGTGTTCAAGAAAAGGCTAGATTACTATCTGCCAGGGATGTTATAGGGAAGATTGTGGCTTTGGGTGGGAGGTTCATCTAGGTGACCTCTAAAAAATGTCCCTCCCAAGATTTTATGATTAATCATTCCTTTCATTGTCTCTGGACATTGTCCTTGCGGAAGAAAGTTTTTTAAAATGTTTCCTATGCAAAAAGTAAAAACAATCACTCCACTGAAACAAGGCAGTCATTTCTCTCCAAATTTTCAGCATCCGTGAATAATCATGGTATACACATAGCCACCTTGTGTTTCTGTATATAATAACAGCTAGCATTTATATAGGCAGCTAGGTATTCCAGTGGATAGAATACTGGATCTGGAAGTCAGGAGAAGAAAACTCTGTTCAGATACTTACTAGCTGTGGGACCCTGGGCAAGTCACTTAACCTCTGCCTCAGCTTTCTCACCCACAAAATGAGTATAATAATAGCACCTACCTCCCAGGGATATTATGAGGATCAAATGAGATAACATATGTAAAGATTTTGCAAACCTTACAGTACCACATAAATACATTGTCATTATTATGTAGTACAAGTACAAGTTTGCAAAAGACTTTACATATGTTACCTCATTTGATCTTCACAAAATGCCTGGGAGGTGGGTGCTATTTTTACAGATGGGGAAACTGAGTTTAAGTGACTTGCCCCAGGTCCCACAGCTAGTAAGTACCTGAATCAGGATTTGAACTCAGATCTTCTTGACTCCAAAGTGAACACTAACCACTGAACCATCTTCTACTCTAAATAACAGGAATTTAATACATTCAGAGAGAGCAGAGCACATACCCTGAAAAGAAAAAATTAGGACTCAGGAAGCCAGCTTTTCTTCAGAATTCAATTTTATTGCTTGTTTCCATCCTTGATGGTATGTTCTACTCAATGAAAATTATATTTGATGGCTTCTTTAAAAAATACTTATTCTATTTGCTCTGTTCTCTAGTATCTTTTTTGTGATATTTCCCATAAATACACTAGTGCCAGGCTAGAAAAAAAAAATCTTCATGTCATGGTCCAATGGTGTGGAACTATACTGTCAATGAGGTCATGGACCATTGTCCTGAAATTTTTTTTGCAAGATCCAGAACCAGTTCACATGACATTAAATTTAACATTTTGTTAAGACATATTGTGAAGGGCAGCTAGGTGGTACAATGGAGAGTGCACAAGGCTTTGAGTCAGGAAGATCTGAGCTCAAAATTGGCCTCAGACACTTACTAGCTATGTGACCTTGGGTGAGTCACTTGAGCTCTATTTGCCTCAGTTCTTCATCTGTAAAATGGGACACGCTGGAGAACAAAGTGGCAAAGCAGTCCAGTAACTTTGCCAAGAAAACCCAAGTCCATGGGGTCACATCAGACAAAACTGAATGACTGAACAACAACAATTATTGTAAAGCTCCAATGTTCCTTTTCCTTTTCCTAACTAAAGGAAAAAGAGTTAATGAAATCTCAAAATGAGGGGAGAATTGAGAAACTCAGTTGTTTGTATTCCAATCAATAAATGGTTCACTATGAACAGAAGCAATATGGTCAATCTGGAAAAGCAGACAGGTGGGTTTCCACCAGTAGGTCTATGTCACTGAGCCTTGGGAAACCTTGACCTCCTCTAGATGACAGACTTGACAATTATTACTTTTCCAGAGTAATAGATCATTTTGGGGCCCACAATCCATATTAAACAACCAACCTGTGGCAAACAGCCTTCCAAATGAGGATGAATCCCATAATGGTCATTATGCTCAAGAGAACACAGAGGCTGATGCAGAGCAACAATGGTGCGAAATGGTTGAGACCTTGAAACATGAACACAAGGATGTTTTTAATGTCTTCTGATACACTCACAATTCTAGTAAAGAGGATGTTACTTATATTTTAGATAATATCATTCATATAAGAGATCTAAGAAACATATGAGATGATCAGAGGATGAAAGGAATAATAATAGTGATAATAATAGCACCTACCTTCGAGGGTTGTTGTAAGGATCGAATGAGATAATGTTTGTAAAGTGCTTCACACAGTTTCTGGCCTATAGTGAGTGCTATATAAATACTAGTTATTATTATTATTCATATTTTAGGCTTTTATGGTAAATTTTCTCCTAAAGCACAATTACAAATATTTCCATGAAGAAAAAAAATGTGAAAATAAGAAAATGTATAGCATTTAACCAGTGCCCCACTAGGGCTGGGGATGGGTGGAGAAATCAGTACATTCTCTTAAAACAGACTGGAGTGGAGGGAAGGAGAAGAGTCATTCCATATTTCAGACATAGTCAAAATGTCTTCGAGTTTCCTTTATGTGTTTTAGGATAATCATGGAATGACAAGTTATCGAATTCTCTGATCTGCCCAAGGTTTTTCCTTATTGTCTTCCTTCTGAGATAAAATATTGAGGATCAAAGCAATAACTGTAAGAGAGAATTACTTACGACTGGGTAGAAGTTCTATGGACAAACTCTTGTTCCCAGTCAAGTGAGAAATGGAGCAGGTCACCTTAGTTTCATTGAGTCCATTCCAGTGACACATACTCTTCACAGTCACTGTCCTGTTGCCATGAGTTTCATTCACACTGAGGCAATATCCCTCTGGGACCCAAGAGATTTGGGCAGCCGGCTTCCCAGCAGAAGCTTCACAAGTGGCAGTCCCATTCCCATCCACAGACAAAGATGTCTCGGGAGGCACTGCAGAGGAACAGAGGGAATATTTTTTTTCTTAGTATAAGAGAGAGGTGGTAGGGTTGAAATGGTTACTTGTCTTTTTTTCCTGGATCTATTTGTCAATAACAGACTAACAGAAACTGTTCCTTACCTAATACATTGAGCCAATGGCCAGACTGGAAATTCCCATCAGGTGTTACAACAACACACATGTAATACCCATCATCTTCAATGGTCACTTGGTCTATCTGAAGGGCAAGATTCTGATCAGGTCTAGATTCCCAGGTTATCCTCTCATTAAAGCAGTTTATTTCCTTGGTTTCATTCTTATCTGATCTATAGGCCATGATACAGAGAATTTTGTCTCTGGGAAATATTTTCCATATTGCCATTATAAGATTCTTCATTGAGTAAGTATAGCAGGAGAAGACAGTCTTGGTATCTACCTGTACAGACACTGCAGAGTCAAGTAGACATACAAATAATAAAGAATAATTTTAAAAATATTCACATGCCAATTTTATCCAGTTACCTTATTTTAAGATGATTCCTAATAATTAACACTCATAATTTCCAATATTTCCTATTTGTAACAAGAAACATTAATACTCAGAGATAGAGAAATATGAGACTAAATCCCAGAATTAGCTATTCTACCTCAGAGCACTTTGGCATAGGAAGAACCAGCCTCAAAGCCAGGAAGACCTGGGTTCAAGTCCTGCCTAGGACACATACTGTCTGTCTGTGTAATCCTGGACCCTTCACCTCTCAGTGCTCTAAGCAGTTCTCTTAGATTGTAAGTTGCAAAGAAGATGGCACCCTGCTTTGCTAAAGGAAGGTCCTTCACCTGGAATTGCCCTGTACTGATGAAATTACAGGTTTAGTCTCTCTTCCCTATCCCTAATTTGGTGATAAAAGACAATCCTGTATAAAGCATGTATCATACTAAAACCATTAGAGCCATCTTCAGAAGCTAAGTATCTTGTCTAATACCAATAGAGTGAGGAGGTAACATTGGTTTCTCTCCAAGAAGCAGGGAATACGTTATCTAAAACCAGGGCCCTTCATAGCAGAGATTAGAGGGTGACTTTAGCCTTCCCTATCTCCTCAGTTAAAAAGAAAGTATCTTTAATTTGTAGAAGAGAACCTCCATTGACGAGTGTGTCTAACTCATAGCATCCTTCTCTTTAGACTCTCATGGGGTGTTTAACCTGGGAGGTCTCTATGAATTTTTTTTTTCATTTTGATGACTGATCAGAATGAATAGTTTCCTGTGTAACTCTATGTATTTTATTTGAAACATCTAAAAATATTTTGAAGGGATCCACAGGTCCCCCTGGACTGCCAAAAGGGTTAATGACCCCCCCTCAAAAAAAAGGTTTAAAAAAAACCCCTGCTTTAGAGCAAGAAGGATGTGAGGAGAAGCTGACCCTGTATGACCTGATCATCTTAACAGGCCAATAACCTTTGTTCCCTCCTCAACATCTAAATGCATCTGACTCACAAAGAACCACTGCTGTCCTGAATTCTCGCTTTTGAGTTTGGCCAGTTTTTTTTTGTTTTTTTTTTTTGTTCCAATGCCTTATGCTTCCATCGTCAGCGTTAGCTGCTACATCAGGAAATACATTACCAGCTGTGGTGCTATTAAAGTTAATGAAGTACAGATGGGTCTGCTCCTCAATCAGGTCTGAACTGCTGGGTCCACGGGCTGAAGATTCAACAGTGTATCCTAAATGCAAAGGGGGCATAGAGGGAAAAACTGATACATCAGTGCACATGGAGACACCTGCTTCCACCAGAGGACATAAAAAATGTGTTTCTCTTAGGAAAGTCACTAATCCTGAACATCACTTCCACCTGCAGGAAATACAAATAGAACCTAAGAACATCAAAACCCAGAAAGGAAAATTTCACTGAAGGGAGAGACATTGACACAGGAATTAATTAGTGGTCAGACTTGGTAACCACAGCTTCCAGTTTCTGCCCTTAGCTTTAAGCAAAAATTACCTTTTATCACACAGCTCAGCTTAGAAACTAAAGATTCTTGCCTAGTCTCATGAAAACAATATGGTTTTCAATAAGTGGATTTACTTCATTAAACTCATAGTGTGATGGGAGGAATACTGGATTTTGAGTTGGAAAATCTTGATCTAAGACCTAGTTTAGCTGTGCGACCTTGAGCAATCATTTAACCTGATTGTGCCTCAGGAGGTTGGATTAAACTTGGAGGTTGGATTAAATATTCTCTCAGGTCCCTTCCAGCTCCAAATCCTAGATCTCCTGGGACCTTTGTTTCTTGAATGAGCTAAAGATGTTTAGTTTAGAGGAGAGAAAACTTAGAAGGGGGCATGATAGCTGTCTTCAAGTATTTGAAAGGCTTTCATGTGAAAAAAAAGTTATATTTCTGGTAAGTCCCAGAGGGAAGAACAAAGAAAAATTGGTGAAAATTACAAAAATGCGAATATAGGCTGGTGAAACTACACCCCTTCCCCTAAAGTAGGTGTTCTTAACCTGTAATTTAATTTATTTTCACTAATCTCTAACTGAAATTTAACATTTCCTTCAATTATTCATAAATATTCTTCTGAGAAGGGGCCCAGAGGTGCGCGCGCGCGCACGTGCGCGCGCGCACACACACACACACTGAAGAATTCCTGCCCTGGATGGAAGAGGAGGCGGGCACTAGACAGAGTCAGCTAGGTTGATTGATGAATATTTGACAAAGCTCTGACAAAAAGGAACCCTGTCATTCTGATGTTTATCCTTACCTATCGATCCATGGATAGTATGTTCTTAAGTACTTGTGGTCTTATCTGATTCAATTCAATTAACATTTATTAAGCATCTTCTGCGTGCCAAGCATTGTGCAAAAAGGCTCTAAAACTTTTATCAAAAGGACCTGTTTGTAGAAAAATATTTTATTAGCTCTTTCTTGTGGTGGAAAAGAATTGAGAATTGAGCGGATGCAAGGGGCAGTTAGATGGTGAAGTGGATAGAATACTAGCCCTGAAGTCAGGTGGGTCTGAGTTGAAATTCAGCCTCAGACACTTACTAGCTGTGTAACCCTGGGCAAGTCACTTAACCCTGAGTGTGAAGGAGAAGGAGAAGGACCATTGAGGGGATGTCTATCAGTTGGGGAATGGCTGAACAAGTTGTAGTATATGATTGTGATGGAGTGCTATTGTGCTATAAGAAATTATGAGCAAGATGATTTTGGAAAAACCTGGAAAGATTTAAAAACCTGGTCAGCATAGACCAGAAGGGATTTTTATGTAGTTTTTAGCAGCCCCCTTTCTATCTGAAAAGATGCAAAATGAAGTAAACAGAACCAGGTACACAGTAACAGCAATATTGGATGATGAACCACTGGGAATGACTTAGCTCTTCTAAACAGTACAGTGATCCAAGACACTCCCAAAGGACTCATGATGAAAAATGCTATCCACTTCCAGAGAAAGAACTGATGGACTCTGAAAGCAGACCAAATCATACTATTTATCACTTTTGTTCTTTTTGTTGCTTTTGTTTGAGTTTCCTTCCACAAAATGACTACTATGGAAATGTTTTACATAATTGTACATGTATAACCTATATCAGATTGTTTACCTTTTCAGGAAGGACTAAGGGGAGGGAGTAAGGGAGGAGGGAAATAATTTGGAACTCACAATTTTAAGAAATGAATGTTTAAAATTGTTTTTACATGTAATTGGGGGGGGAATAAAATATTGTTTTAAAAAAAACCATTTTAGACCTTAGCATTAAAACTACACAACACTAACAGCTTAGGGCCAGGCTGAATGGTTTGTAGTATGGATGGACAATTTCCTGTGTCATGCTTGTGTGTGAGGCCTCATTTCCTGTAATCAGACCAACATTGAGACCCACAGATAGATGAGAGGTCCCCCTGTATTCTTTTTGTACAAGTAAGTATCCACTGGTGGCTTATATGTTATTAATAAGCCTTATTGTTAGTGTAGAGTCAGTTAACTAGCATTTAAGTGTCTACTAGGTGTCAGGCATTGTGCTAAGCACTGGGGATACAAAGAAATCCCCCACCCCCGAAATAAAAACAGTCCTTGATCTCAAGGAGCTCACAGTATATTGAGGGAGAAAACATGCAAACAATAGTAAAGTACAAACAATATATATACTGGATAAATTAGGGGTAAACTCAGAGGGAGGGCACTAAGGCAAAATACAGCTGTGTTTCTGTTCCTTGAGATTGCAAAGTGGATTAATACAGGTCAAAGGAAAAACTACTTTTGTAGGACTTTTCCCAGCCTAGGTTCTTAAAGAGCCCAGGGAAAATTTCACCCATCAGCAGGATCCCTTGACTGATAATCAAACAACTTGAGGGGCCAAATTGAAAAAAGAAATCTTTATTAGCATGCTAAGGAAGATATTTCTAGCTGGTAGCAGCCTCAGCTTCCTAGAGTACAATTTAGACAGCTTTTCCAAGCCTGTTTAGATTACATAGCCAATCAGCAGCATCATATACTGCTTGAATAGATCAATGGCATATAGTCTGTCCATATAGGAAAGCTGGTCTGGAATGTTCATGTTGAATATTAGGTGCAACATTTGCCGGTTGAAGATAGCTCAAGAGTGCTAGAGGAGTAAAGAGTCATTGTATATTTAGCCTCAGCAGGATAGAGGTAGCTGAGTCTTGTTTTATTATTCAATCTATAGCACAAGGGGAGGTAGTTTGGCCGAATCACACCATCTGCTAAAGTTTTTTCTCCATACTACCTACAGTTACCATTAAAACAAAACACAAAAACAGACATCAGTTAAAGGTAGTAGGTTCTCTCACTGAAGTCTTCAAGCAAAGGCTGTATGACAATTTATTTAGGAGGTTATATTTAGAGCAAAGGTGTCCAACTCACCCATTGCTGCAGAAAGGCAGCAACCACATTAAATTGAGAAATATACACATATAATTGAGAAATATTTAACAAAATGAGTGAAAATACAATAGAACATAGATAATGTTGACTGTGGTTTTTCTTTTTTTTTTTTTAAGATTCATTAATTTAGGGGCAGCTAGGTGGCGCAGTGGATAGAGCACAGGCCCTGGATTCAGGAGGACCTGAGTTCAAATCCAGCCTCAGACACATAACACTTACTAGCTGTGTGACCCTGGGCAAGTCACTTAACCCCATTGCCTAGGGAAAAAACAAACAAACAAACAAACAAAAGATTCATTAATTTATTTATTTTTAGTTTTCAACATTCACTTCCACAAGATTTTGAGTTCCAAATTTTCTCCCCATCTCATCCCTTCCCCAACCCCAAGACAGCATGCATTCTTTCCTCTAATCTGCCCTCCCCTCTGTCTCCCCTCCCCTTCTCTTATCCCCTTCCTCTTGTATTTTCCTGTGGGACAGAATAGATTTCTATACCCCATTGCCTGTATATCTTATTTCCCTGTTGCATGTGAAAACAATTTTTTAACATTTGTTTTTAAAACTTTGGGTTCAAATTTTCTCCCTTCCTCCCTCCCTCCCCACCCATCCTCATTGAGAAGGCAAGCAACTCAATACAGGTTATCTTGTGTAGTCATGCAAAACACTTCCATAGTAGTCATGCTGTGGAAAACTAACTGTATTTCCCTTCATCCTATCCCACCCTCCATTTATTCTATTCTCTCTTTTGACCCTGTCTGTCCTCAGTTTGCTTCTGATTACCCCATTCCCAAATCTGCTCTTCCTTCTACTATCCCCCTCCTCACTCTCTTATCCCCTTCCTCCCTATTTTCCTGTAGGGTAAGATAGCTTTCCATACCCAATTGACTGTGTATGTTATTCCCTCCTTAAGCCAAATCCTATGAGAATAAGATTCACTCATTCCCTCTTATCTTCCCCCACTTCCCCTCCACTGTAAAAGTCTTTTCTTGTCTATTTCATGTGAGATATTTTACCTCTCCATTTCTCCTTCTCCCAGTACAATCCTCTCTCACCCCTTAATTTTATTCTCCAGATATCACCCATTCATCTTCAACTCACCCTGTGCCTTCTATCTATCAATCTACATATACATATAATTTTTTTCCCCTCCGACTACCCTAATTCTGACAAAGGTCTCATGAGTTACAAATATCATCTTTCCATGTAAAAATGTAAACAGTTCAAGCTTAATAAATCCCTTATGATTTCTCTTTCCTGTTTACCTCTTCACACTTCTCTTGAGTCTTGTATTTGAAAGTCAAATTTTCTATTCAGCTCCAGTCTTTTCATCAAGAGTGCTTGAAAGTCCTCTATTTCACTGAATGTCCATTTTTCCGCTGAAGGATTATACTCAGTTTTGCTGGGTAGGTGATTCTTGACTACAATCCTATCTCCTTTGTCCTCCAGAATATCATATTCCAAGACCTCTGGTCCCTTAATGTAGAAGCTGCTAAATCTTGTGTTATCCTGATTGTGTTTCCACAATACTTGAATTGTTTCTTTCTGGCTGCTTGCAATATTTTCTCCTTGACCTGGGAACTCTGGAATTTGGCTACAATATTCCTAGGAATTTTCCTCTTGGGGATCTCTTTCAGGAGGTGATCAGCGGATTCTTTCAATTTCTATTTTACCTCTGGTTCTAGAATATCAGGGCAGTTTTCCTAGATAATTTCTTGAAAGATTATGTGTAGGCTCTTTTTTTGATCATGGCTTTCAGATAGTCCAACAACTTTTAAATTCTCTCTCCTGGATCTATTTTCCAAGTCAGTTGTTTTTCCAATGAGATATTTCATATTATCTTCTATTTTCTCATTTTTTTTTGGTTTTGTTTTACATATTGATTTCTCATAAAGTCACTAGCTTCCAAATGTTATGTTCTAATTTTTAAGGAAATATTTTCTTCAGTGAGCTTTTGGACTTCCTTTTCCATTTGGTCAATTTTGCTTTTGAAGGCAATCTTCTCCTCATTGGCTTTTTGGACCTCTTTCACCATTTGGGTTAGGCTATTTTTTAAGGTGTTATTTTCTTCAGTGGTTTTTTTTTGGGTCTCCCTTAGCAAGCTGTTGATTTCTTTTTCATGATTTTCTTGCATCACTCTCATTTCTCTTCCCACTTTTTCCTCTACTTCTCCTACTTGCTTCTCAAAATTCTTTTTGAGCTCTTCCATGGCCTGGGACTAATTCATATTTTTCTTGGAGGTTTTGGATGTAGGAGCTTTGACTTTGTTTTCTTTTGGTTGTATATTTTGATCTTCTTTGTCACCAAAGAAAGATTCTATGGTCTGACTTTTTTTTGTGCAGTTTGCTCATGTTCCCAGACAATTGCTTGAATTTCAAACTCTTTGTTAAGGTAGGGGTCTGCTTCCAGTGTGGAGAATGTACTGTCCCAAGCTTTGGGGGTTTTGTGCAGCTGTTTTCAGAGACACTTCTAGGGACCTGTAAGTTTTCAGTTTTTCCAAGGTGGTATGATAAGGGGCCAGGTGTTTACTCCTTTCTTGGCCTGTGCTCTGGTCTATGAGTGACCACAAGTGCTCTTTTCTGCCTTGGGACTGTGAGGAGGATTTCCTCTCTACTGCCACCACAAGTTCTACCACACCAGCACTACTCCTTGCCCCAGGATTGCCACCCAGAACTGTGACCCAGATCCAAGCACAGGCAAAGCAAGAGATTCCTGCCTCAGCACTAGCAAAGAGATCCCTGCAATACCCCTCTGATCAGTCACTAGATTCCCTCTCAGTCTGTGAGCTGGAAGCTCTGGAAGCAGCCACTGACCTGGGGCTGCAGCCAAGAGTAGGGCTGGGACCAAGCTTCTTTCTCACCACAGTCACAGACTTTTCCTACTGATCTTCTAAGTTGTCTTTGGCATTTGTGGATTGAGAAGTCTGGAAACTGCCACAGTTGCCTGTGATTCAGGCCTGCTCCAGGTTCACTAAGGCCTGGTCTTTGCCTACATGTGCGCCCACACTGAACGGTGTTTCTCTCCCAGCGCGACATGATAGACCTTTCTAATCAACCATCCAGGTTGTCTTGGGCTGGAAATGTGTTTCATTCTATCTTTTTTGTGGGTTCTGCTACTCTAGAATTTGTTTAGAGCCATTTTTTACAGATATTTGGAGGGGTTTGGGGGAGAGATCCAGCAAGTCACTGCTTCTACTCCACCGTCTTGGCTGTGCCCCCAGTTGTGGTTTTCTAAGTCAGCATAGATCAGCTGGGCTAGAATGATATCTCTCTGCCTCTCTGTAGTTTTTAGCAGCCCACTTTTTATTTGAATTTGATATCACAGTTCTAGAGAGTAATTTTGTTCAAAGATGGGTTGTATTAGATGTCATTTGAGGATCCTACCAACTGTGATTCTATGACTACAAGCTTCAAAACAGAAGTCCTTCACCTTTTTTCAATCAAGGACCACTTTGGCAGTCTAGTGAAGCCTACAGACTCCTCAGAATAATTATTATAAGTACATAAAATAGATAGGATCACATTTGTAACCGGGGGCTCAGAACGTATTTGCATAAGATTCTCCTCATTTTTGGAAATTGACTATTCAATATTCTGAGGCTGTGTGAGAGGAAAAATTGACAAGAGCTTGAGAGAGGAGAGATCTTGGTCTTCTAGCCTCTCAATTTGAGAGAAAAGATTTTCTTTAGGAAGAGGTCCCTAAAGGGAGAGAAAGACTCTGGGAAGAAGCTAACATGTAGGGAGCCAATACCTCAATAATGTCCCTATCCTGAGCTTACAACACCAGAAGCTTTGGGGAATTTCCCCTTGGGTGAGATCTGGGAGTCTCTTGCTTGAGTTAAGATACCTCACTCCCAGAAAGTTCATTCACTCTGTGTATTGTCTGGTGTATTCTCAACTGTATATCTTCTCTGATTTTTGTTTACTATCAGCTTGGATAAATGGGTCTATTTTCTACTCACTATCTGTGGTCTCTGTGTAACTGGCATTTGGTTTGGAAGAAGTCAAGTCTTGGGGCACTCTTTCCTTAGTAAAAGATAGTGATCAGGAGCATAGCTTGAACTTTAAAGTTATTTCCCCTTGAATAGACAACATGTAGTAGGGCAGAGAGATATCATTCTAGCCCAGTACCCCCTTTCTCTGAGGAGAGCAGAATGCCAGCCTCCAGCACTAGTCTCTTGTTTTCCTTCATGGTAGGAAACAAAGCTTCCCTTGAAGAAGGACCTGCAGAGGGAACTCTAGAGATATCTATTCATGCTTCTCTGTGAGCTGCTTCTAGGAAGATCCACATGATCACATGTAATCTATTTGAGCAACCTGGCATACACACATCTTACATATTTAAATATAGTTATAAATTTTGGGGGGGTTTATAGATCCCAGATTAAGAACCCCTAGGAACCTTGCTCTAAGGCTAGGTGTAAGCTTGCTGTGACCCACACCCCAGAGAGACATTTGTGATTCACTATGTCATGAAACACCAAACTAGAGACAAAGAAAGAAAGGTGGGTCAAGAAGTTCACATAATGTAGGCTCCTTGAAAGAAACGATTGTTTCATTCTTTGCACTTTGATCCTCAGCCTCTTGTAAATGACTTTGAATGAAAAAAAAAAAGTAGGCATAGGAAAACAAGAGAGTTTTCCTATAGGGGTCAAGTCATTGATCTCATAGATGGAAACACCAGTCCATTCTCTGAGAAGGTGAGACAGTAGAGACCACAGATAAAGGGGTCTAGCCAAGGCAGGGATGGGAGTGGCAAGCAACTTCTATGGGAACCTCAGGAAGGCACCAAGAGTTTGACAAATCCTTCCTCCTCCTTCACCAGAGTTCTCCTCCGGTCTTGGAGGTGCACATGACAGGAGGGAGAGGGTAAGCTTACAGTCAAATGCTGAAGATTCCAACTACTGAAAAGGACCAAGCACTGGTCACAGCATACCCTTCCCCATGATATATTAGCCTAAAGATTTTCTGGAGAACTTTGGCACATTTTTTGAGAGACTGGTATTTACTAATCTTCCCAAGTGCCACCTGGGTGGGGTCAAAGCCAGATATTAAAGAATCCAGGGTTTTCTTTGTTGGTAACACAAGTCAGAGTTTACAAGAGGCTCCTAAGAACATCCAAGACTATTGTGTTAAGATCCAGTGTCCAAGTGAAAGAATAATTAAAGGTAAAATGATGAGGCAGTTGTGATATAAATGCACCCTGACTACTCATTCTTTTCCCTAAGGCCACCTACAATAGGTCAGACATCATTCAAGATAGACAAAAGATGAAAAATATTCCCAAAAGAACAATCAAGCCACAGACCAATTTTATGGGAAAGGAAACTGAGACACAGAGAATGAGTCACCCAATCTGTCAGTAGAGCACAGTTAGAATTCATACTCTCAACTTCCTCAATCCTTCTAGAGCAACCCTATTGCTTATGTTTAAAAAACAAAAACAACACACACACACACACACACACTCACACTCACACACACACAACAAACAACTCTACATGTGTGAAGGATCAGGTGAAAAGGCTAGCAAAAATGATTCTAAAGCATTTTTAAAATGCAATATAGCCCTTGATAATTCAAAATAATTAGGCCATTTTGATAGGGAATTTGAATTATTGAATACTATTTAAAGAATTAAATGTTATCTAATCTAATTAAATTTTAGAAATTTCAATTATTCATAGCACAAATTAGTGACTAACAACAAAGCATAACCAGAGTATTGTTACCAAATAGATATACCTGTTTAAGAAGTAAGATAGAAATCATACAAAACTAATGTGTGTGCAATGTTCCTAGATAGTTTTTTAATGTTAATTGGCATTTGTAAAGCTCTTTAAAAGCATTCATTCATTTCATCATTATTATTGGTTAATATGGCTAGAATTTAATTACATCAATAGTCTTAGGCCTGTTAAACAGAAAACAAGGTCTCTTGTGAAGACATAGTACACTTTAATCTGCTAAGCGACCTTTATATTTTCCCTACAAGAACACAAAGAATACAAGAACTATCAAAAACTCTTCATTAAAGCACAAGACTTTTCTGTTCCTTTAATTATATTTAGGCTTTTATTACATGAGCAATAGGAAGTGGGTAATTGAAACATGTAAATAATAAAGAGCCAGAAAAGTGCTTTCTCCAGAAGTATAACTTAAAGTGATCTTTCTAGATTGTTATTCATATAACTACCCTAATTCTTCACTTCTCTTTGAACGTGTATAGTTATCTTATGAAACTCAGGCAGTTTCAAATAATAAAATATCTCCTTATTTGTAATATTGGTTGAAACTGATGAGGACAGAAAATAGCAAAGGTGACTTAAGTATTGGTTTAAAAATCATGATGAGAAGAAGATTAACATTGACTTTATTCATGTTTATGGCAGAAAGAAAGAAAGAAGTCACATTATTGACATCTACCACTGATACTAAACTGTGAGATACTAAGAACAGAACAAAAAGGAAAAATAAAATAGATTTATGAGGCAAAAATAGAAGGATAAGATGACACTGATCAAGGCAAACCAAAAAACCCATGGGAGAACACCCCAACTTGCTGTTCTCTTATTGCCCATGGTAATTGCTTTTTTTTTTAAAGTCAGACTTACCAAATAGTAGAAGAGCTATGATGATCTGCAGCCCCAAAGCAGAAGTCATCTTCCCAAGAGATCTCATTTCCATATTTTTTTCTCTCCCTTCTTCCCCCTACTGTCTTTTTCAGCCTACTAGAGACCAAGCTGTACCTAATTATAGATAGGTCTTTCCTGATACACCCAATCTTCTCTAGCTTGGATTACACCAGGCCATCATTACTGATGAATTCTTTTGTTCCTCTTCTCTCCTCTCTTCTCGTGTGTTTTTTTTTGTTTTTTTGGGGTTTTTTGCCTCATAGGCAGCCTCAAATGAAACGTATCCTGTGTGTAATTTGTCTGGGGTGATGGTTAACAGAGTAGACTTCCTGGGTAGTACTTTTTATTCATAAATTCATTTTCCATTTCAGACATGAAAATATAAAATATTGAACCCAGAAAAAACATTAAAGAAAGATTGTGTACCTACTCCCAGCACTGGCTTAGCCACAAAAAAAAGTTTCAGAATTTTCAGAACATTTTTTTTATATTTTAAGTAGATAGATTGATCTGTTCATGTGATTGTTTTTTTTTTATGTGAACAGTTTTCTTTCCTTTATTTTTATGATTTTCAATAAATAACACTGAAGTATTCAATAGACGGAATACTAAGGGCCTATTCTATGTGAAGCACAATGTTAAGTGCTGGGTCGTCCCTTTTCTCAAAGAGATTACATTCTTCTATTATCTCAAAGCTACTTAGTAATGTTCATGATCAATAATTGAGACAATTTTGGTACAATTAATGCAACAATGAATACCTAGCCAGAAAACAATTAATATACCTAAAGCATAAAGAGCAGCTATGAAACCAGAGTAGCTAGTATGTCTTCTCATCCTAACCAGCAAAACATGGAAGGGAACCAGGAAGAGAGATCTACCATGAGTTGGCTGAACTATGGCTTTCTGTTACAATTTGTTGGGTTTCATTCGTGATTCATTGGAGCTCAAAAATATTTGTAAACTGAAAAATGACTCAACAGCAGCAGCAGCAGCTGCAGCAGCAGCAGCAGCAGCAGCACTTCTGCTGATATCAGGGTTAAAAAAGTGAGATTGCATTTATGTCATTATGTATGTTATATATTATATTCATATATTATATATGTTATATATAATATATATGTTATAATGTGCATGTGTACATATACACAAATACTCACACATATTGTATATGTATATATGTGATGTATATGTTTGTATATATGGGTGTTATGTGCATGTGTGTATATATGTATATACATACATATATATAAATAGTTTTTGAGCTCTTATTACATTTTACTCAGAGGTCAAAGGTTGGCAGAGGATATGGGAGTGGGAAAGGAAGGAGTTTTTCTTTTAAGATCACTTCAGATGAAATATTACATGTTACTTGGACATGAGGATTCTTGAAAAATTTGAACATTATATTCACTGGCTGTGACCAATTATCTCAATTCCAGGTGTTATTGTTAATCCTACAGGGAGCCAACACAAAAGGTGCAAAGGACATTACAAAAGGTACTATGTCCCCTTAACCTTCAAATTGTGGCAAGAATTCATTTTTGAAAACAGGAATAGGTACCCATAAACCAGGGGTATTCTGATGGAGGTGATGGCATACCCAACACCCATGGGGCCCAATGACTTTAACTTTGTGCAGTTTATACCTTACTTGACTATGAAATTTAATGACATGGAGAGGAGTGGGCTCTGGGTAATAATGCTGGGAGCAATACAACGAATGTAGTACAGCCTCAGCCCCAGCCCTCTTTCGCTAGTAAGCTTTTGAGTTTGCATTGGTTCAGGAGATGAAGATGTTCCACCCGACAGAGGCTCCATCGTACCTTTGATTTGAAGACTTTATGGTCTCTCACTAAGTTGGAGAAGATGACAGTTGTGTTCTTGACAGGACTTGACATTGGATGCTGATATTAAGAGTAGAGTCCTTGAAAGTAATAGAAGCTAAGTCCAAAGTTGGATTTGAGAGAACAGGGTGGGACTTTCTACATACCTTTGAGACAGTTGAGGCAGATGAGTCCATGTCCATTGAGTGTTCTTCAGGGTAAAGGCAAAAACGTACTGTGGATGTAAGTGAATCAGAATGCTAACAAAAGTTGAGCAAAGATCTATCACAGTAAAACAAGTAGCCTGACAAGAAATGGAAGATGAAATAGTATTTGAGTTGGGCACCACTGGCAGTTCGTAAATCTTACACAAAATAATAAACAGGTTTCCCATCAGGACCTATTTTAGATTTCTTTAACAAGAAAAATAGAAGTAATATAAGGAGACTTGAATGGTACAATAATACCTTGATCTCTGAAAGAGTAAATCATAGGTGAGATTCCTTCAATAGCCTCTCTGGACAGAGGGTTTTGAGGAACAGAGGGAAAGGGTCCTCCTTTAGGGACAGCTGGTTTTAGTAGCTCTCCATCTGAGGTCAAAGAAGCCCCCAGAGACTCAGGGACAACATATTGAAGAACTGGCCTGGTCTCTGCAACCTGTTGGGCGATTAGAATTGGAACTAGGGAAAAAAGGGATCAAATCTCTTTGTTAATAGTAAGGAATTCCTCAAAATTATCTGGAATTATCTGGAAAATCATCATCAAGATCATCTTGAAAATCTATTAATATGGGAAATAGAGAGAGAGCATCCTCAGGAAGGTGGCAACATAGAGAATGATCAAGAGAGCACGAAATGGTGGCTTTCAATTTACACTAGAGGTCTTGACATAACAAATTGACTAGGACATCTAGCATTGTAGAGAGGATTGTTCAACAGAAAGTGGACCTAGGGGTCTATTAACTTGACTTCAATTCCTGGGGAAATTATAGAATGGACACTCAAAGAGATAGTTGGCAAAGAACTAGAAAAAGAAGTGATGATTTCAAAGAGTCAGCCTGGCTTCATCAAGAACAAGCCATGCCAGGCTAAGTGGAGAGATGTGGGCTAGATAGTAATGCAACTGGATGAATTCAGAAATGGTTAAGTAGCTGTACTTAAAGAGTAGTTATAAATGATTCAATGTCAACAAAGCAGGAGGTTTCCAGTGGAATATGCCATGGGTATGTACTTGATCCTATGCTGTTTAGCTTTTTTTATCAATGATTTTGATAAAGGCACACTTGTCATGCTCATGGAATTTGCAGATGATAAAAAGCTAGAAGAGAGAGCTAATACACTAAAGACAGAGTCAGGATCCAAATGAGGTTGTGACAGGTTAGAGCACTAGGATGAATCTATTATGATGAAATAAAATCTTATACTTGGATACTTTACAAAAAAAATCAACTTTGTAACTATAATACGGTTATTGTTCTGAAAAGACCTGGGAGTTTTTAGTGGATTGCAAGCTCCATTTGAGTCAATAATGTGAAAGCCAAAAAACACACAAACAAAACTAATTCAACTTCAGTCTTCATTGAGAGACATAGCTACCTGGAATGGGAAGGAGCAAGTCCCACTGTACTCTGCCCTGGTTCAGACCTCATTTGAAGTATTGTGTTCAATTCTAGGTGCCACGATTTAAGAGAGACATGGCTGAGCTGTGGAGTATTCAGAAGAAAGCAAATTTGGTAGTAAAAAGCCTTGAGTCCATGTCATATGAGAATTAGCTGAAGGATCAAGGCTTATTTAGCCTGGAGATTTAGAAAGGGACATAAAACTAGGTTTTAATATTTGAATGGTTGTTATAGGGAGAAAGGTTAGACTTGTTCTGTTCGCCTTCAGAGATCAATAGATAGAAGTTGCAAAGAAGCACATTTAGACTTAATATCAGAAAGAATTTTCTAATAATTAGAGTCATTCAAAAGTGAAGTGAGCCACCACGAAAGGTGGTAAGTTTCCCCTCCTTGGAGGTCTTTTAGCAAAGGCTAAATAACACTTGTAAGGTATGTGGGCTTGATCAGTAGGACTAGATTGCCACTGATGGCTCTTGCAATTCTCTAACTCTCATTCTGTAATCTGTGAAGTGACAGAGGAGTTTGGATTTTCTTCTGCTTTTGAAGGCAAAGGAGAACCATTGAAGATTTCCGAGCAAGGAGAGTGACATGGTCAGACTTGTGCCTTAAGATTAGTTTGGTTGCTAAGTGGAAAATGAATTGGAAAGAGGAAAAAACAAGAATTTCAATTAAAAGGTTATATTAATAGTCCACTTAATAGGTAATAAGAGTGAAATCGATAAGACGTGGAAATGAATTAGATACAGAGAGTAAGGAAGAGGGAAGAGGCAAGGATGGCTTCAACTATGTAAAGTGGGAGAACTGGAAAGGCAAGATGCCTTCATCATAAAGAGGGAAGTTTGGAAAAATTTCTAATTGGAAATATCCAGAAAGCATTTGGTAAAATGTGACTGGAGTTCAAGAAAAAGATTAAGTCTAGATTTATAGATTTGGGAGTCATTTGAATAAAGATAATAATTTAACCCATAGAAGCTAATTAGATGAGAGAGAGAGAGAGAGAGAAATAGAAAGTACCCAGGAAGAGTTGTTGGGGGCACAGTTGGGGCAGGACTTGGAGAAAGGTATAATAATGGAAACTGAGGAAGAAAACTAAGAAACTAAAATATGTTCATCAACAGTATCAAAAACTGCAGATAGGTCAGGAATAATGAGAACTAAGGAAAGGTCATCACTGTTAGCAATTAAAACATCATTGGTAACCTTAGAGAGGACAGTTTCAGCCAAGAGGTAGGGTTGCAAAACAGATTTCAGGGGGGGTAAAAAGTGAATGGGGGTTGAGGAAGTAGAGCCAGTGAGTAGAGATGGCTTCTTCTAGGAGTGAAGTGGTGAAGAACAACAGCTCAAGAGAATGCTATTATACTTTAGATGCAACATATGGGTAGTGTCATGAGTAAAATGAATCAAGACTGAGAAAGTAAAATGAGAGTAAATCCATTTATTAGCAAGACTAGCAGTTGCATGATAAATTAGATCCAAGGCTGCTCAGCAGGCACAAGGACACTAAATGATAGACAACAAAGCTTCCTTGTAGTTAATAATAAGGAATAAATTAGGCTACATAATCTTGAGCAACAAGGACATTTATTCTTTCTGATTGACCAACGTATGGCAAAATCAAAGGGTAGTAAACACAAATTGTACCATTATTTCTCAGAACATTTTGCAGTTGGTACTATCTGATTTCCCAAAATCATATAAACAAAGCTTTTATAAGAATATAAAACTTCAAGTTACAAAATGGATGCTGTTTACA